GTGATGTGTAGGATTTCACCAATGTAGATGGGGATACCATAATTTATCAGTTGTTGAAGATGTGGTTGACAATTACAAAAAGGCTAAGATCCCTCTTGATGTGATTTGGAACGATGATGATCACATGGATGGTCACAAGGACTTCACCTTGAATCCTATTAGCTATCCGCGCGCTAAGCTATTGGCGTTCTTAGACAAAATCCACAAGATGGGAATGAAGTATATTGTGATCAATGATCCTGGTATTGGTGTTAACGCTAGCTACGGTACATTCCAGAGAGCCATGGCTAATGATGTGTTTATCAAGTACGAAGGAAAGCCTTTCTTGGCTCAAGTGTGGCCTGGTCCGGTTTATTTTCCTGATTTCCTTAATCCGAAGACGGTTGCTTGGTGGGGAGATGAAATCCGCCGTTTCCATGAATTAGTTCCTATAGATGGTCTATGGATCGACATGAACGAGGTGTCAAACTTCTGCTCTGGATTGTGCACGATTCCAGAAGGGAAGCAGTGTCCAAGTGGGGAAGGACCTGGTTGGGTATGTTGTTTGGACTGCAAGAACATAACCAAGACGAGATGGGATGATCCTCCTTACAAGATCAATGCTACTGGAGTCACAGCTCCGGTCGGTTTCAAGACTATTGCCACAAGTGCTTTACATTACAACGGTGTTCGAGAGTACGATGCTCATAGTATCTACGGATTCTCTGAGACCATCGCGACTCACAAGGCTTTACAGTCTATCGAAGGCAAACGTCCTTTCATTTTGTCACGGTCTACTTTTGTTGGTTCAGGTCAATACGCTGCTCATTGGACTGGAGATAACCAAGGTACATGGCAAAGCTTGCAAGTGTCTATCTCAACCATGTTGAATTTCGGAATTTTCGGAGTTCCTATGGTTGGTTCAGACATTTGTGGATTCTACCCTCAACCAACTGAAGAACTCTGCAACCGTTGGATCGAAGTCGGCGCGTTTTACCCCTTTTCAAGAGATCACGCCAATTACTACTCTCCAAGACAAGAGCTTTACCAGTGGGCCACAGTAGCAGAGTCGGCTCGTAACGCTCTTGGGATGAGATACAAAATCCTTCCTTTCCTCTACACTCTCAACTACGAAGCTCATATGACCGGTGCACCCATCGCTAGACCGCTCTTCTTCTCTTTCCCAGAGTACACCGAATGCTACGGCTCGAGCAGACAGTTCTTGCTTGGAAGCAGCTTGATGATATCTCCGGTTCTTGAAAAAGGCAAAACCGAAGTAGAAGCATTGTTCCCACCAGGTTCTTGGTACCACATGTTTGACATGACTCAAGCCGTTGTATCCAAGAGCGGCAAACGCGTGACTCTCCCAGCTCCATTGAACTTCGTGAACGTTCATCTTTACCAGAACACTATATTACCAATGCAACAAGGCGGTTTGATTTCCAAAGAGGCGAGAACTACGCCGTTTAGCCTCGTTATCGCTTTCCCCGCGGGAGCTACGGAGGGATACGCCACAGGGAAACTCTATTTAGACGAGGACGAGCTTCCGGAGATGAAACTAGGAAACGGACAGTCCACGTACGTTGACTTCTACGCTTCGGTCGGAAATGGGAGTGTGAAGATGTGGTCACAAGTGAAAGAAGGGAAGTATGCATTGAGCAAAGGTTGGGTGATTGAGAAAGTTAGTGTTTTGGGACTTAAAGGAACAGGGCAAGCTTCTGAGATTGAAATCAATGGAAGTCCGGTTTCGAAGATCGAGGTAAGCTCGAAGGAGCATACGTATGTGGTTGGGTTAGATGATGAAGGAGAGAACAAGAGTGTGATGGTTGAGGTTAAAGGACTTGAGATGCTTGTTGGTAAGGACTTTAACATGTCCTGGAAAATGGGTATTAATGGTGCAAATTAATTTACATGTAAGAGAGTTGGTAAAATTATTGGAGAGGAGAGGATAATGAGATTATTAAACCAAAAAAAATGGTTATGCTCATTGTTTTCTATTCGGATTATAAGAAAGAGAGAATAGAGGTTTGGTTTTTTAGATTATGTTTGTGTCTACTTTTTATTAGAAGATGTTGTTCTAGTCTGAATAAAAAACTTGGAAATGAAGTATTGTTATCTTTGATTTCGTGATTTTGTTTACATTTTTCCATTGTCTTTAGCTGCTGACAAAGGAAGGATAAGTTTCGTGAATTCCCAAATGTTTTATAGGACCACATCTGTTTTTCCAACGGTTTCTTTGTTTTTACATAATCGAAGCAGAGAAATTGAGACTTTCGAAAAAAAATCTAAATGGTTCGATTCATACATGTGAATAAGGTTCGGGTTGGGTTTGGGAATACGTGACAAGCATAGTCGGTTTAATATTTTCGGTTGTTCGACATATAACGAAAAATTATATATGTATTTTTTGTTAATGTTAAAAAAGTTGTCTTTTTTTGTTAATAAATTTTGATCACATATATCTGAAGTACGAAACCATGGCTTATTTTGTAGTCATTTTTTTTCTCATGCTAATTATTTTTCTGCTGAAAACCTCATGCTAGTTGTGATATTGAAGTTTTGTTAATGAGAAAAAAAATATATATATACTAAACCACCAACTGCATTTTTTTCAAATAGCATTTGATAGTTTTGGGTCAGCTTTTACTCGACTATTCATCAAGATGATATCATCAAAGTATTATGTCATGTAACGGTCGAATCAGATGATTCGTCCTTGTTGAGGATGGTTTTCTTTTATACACAACCATTGACTATACATGTTTAATATATATAGTAGTAGTAGCATAAATATCAATTATATGTGAGAAGCTCAATAGATTTATCATTTATAACTTGTCTCTATCGTTTTGTTTGAATACACATGCTAAATGATGTATAGTGAAGACAAGAGAATCTAACAAAAGTTAGGCAAAGATCTATGGCTCTAAATTCTCCAAAAAGCCTAGTAGATGGAAAAGTCCAGCCCACACAAGATCTAATTTTCTAAGCCCTACGACTTTATGACGCCGCACTAACACATCCAAAACTTCAATCAATTTTTTTTTTTATCATCTGGAAAATTTGATTAAACTTGTAACCGAAATTACATATCGGCAATGAACACATCCCTTCCGATTCCAAAGCCAGAAGATTCGAGAATACTTTCAAAGCCAAAAGCTGACAAGTTACAAAGAATATCCAGAGCCAATAATAACTAGAAGATTATAAAGATTTCTTAAGATGCTAAACATAATCCATAAAACCAGTAATTAGGATATAAAGAAGCACGAAATCTATAACATGTCAATAAAAACACGAAGGTCAAGCAAACTATACTTTGGAGGAGAAAGAGTACATGAGCAACTAGTAGCCGAAGTTATTGCGGTTAGAACCACCCGTAGAGCCACGAGCTACACGCGCTTAAGAACTAACCAAGAAGACGAAGAAACTGATTTTTGCAAACGATTTCCTACGGCACTATGCTTCGATTGAGCCGAAGCTCCTTTCCTAGAGATGAGCCGGACAAATCTGCTCAATAGCAAAAAATAATGACAACTCAGCTGTCACCGCCCCAATGCTCCAAAACACAGGACAAGCATTCCTCCAGAATAAAGCAACGCCACAACCTGCATCTTTTCAAACCAAATCAACAGATCCGAAAATTAGTGAGAAGTAAACAAAACCAAACCGGGTCTTTGAATCCACAAACCAACAGGTCCAGGAACGCGTTATTGATAGAACCCGAGCCGTCGATCGCGAACCCACCACTTCCAGATATGTCAAAACCGACCTAGATCTGAGTTTCCGAGGACCCAAAGCTAACAGATCTACATCACTAAACAAGTACAAAGGAAAAACTACATATAATTAAACACAAACCGACCGATGTCGTGGCTTTAGTAGCCCACACACATCAGTCGGAGAGCAGATCGGATCTTGAAGAAGAAGATAGGGGAGAGAAAAACTTCAATCAATTTATAACAATTCAATCACAATTATTTCAAAGTAAAATACTAATTAGTATACTGTTTGCATTTTACAAGTCGTTGTTCTGGTTAATTAGTTATTAATTGCTAAACCTTAGTTAAGAACGAGTGACTGTTTAGAGTCGCGGTGAAAGAAACACGTCATCAAGCAGCTAATATTTACTTTAAAGTTTAAACTCTCAACATCTTTTGTACTGTTATCGACTTGTCGGCTTTACTTCACACTTCGTTATTTATTACTTTTGAAGATCTGTCAAAAAAATATTTCCATGTCCACCATAAGTGGTTGGGCAAAAACTAATTGTAAACTCGATTTTTTTCTGATTTGAAGTATTCACTTATGTACCACTATTTGTTAGTTATAACTTAACTGATTTATGTGTTATTCGATCCTTGTGAAAATATGTTAATCCATGATTTGTTATTGTTGGTGCTTTGAGTCATAT